TCTCAATTGAGCAATTGAGAGATCCACTCAAATGTATTATAAGTCATATCATAAATCATATACCACACTTTTTATCCTACTTTTTACCCTAATACCATGAACTAGGGAAATCTCACTTTAATTTACTCCTCTACAGAAAATTTACTTTGGATTTTCAGCTCAATAAACTACACCTGCAAATTTGAGACTATTCTGGGAAACTTGGTCAGTATTGAAAATATAGTGACAATGAACCCTTGAATCAGAAGAATTAGGAATGTTAAGGGTCTGTTGTGATTTTTTTACTATTATTTCAGTGGCTTGGATAAAAGAAGTAGGAAGTAAATGTTATATGGGTAGGATTGGATTCCACATCATAGGAGAATGATGAAGAGTGCTCCAGGATGAGTAGCAAATACTTTGAGAAATTTTAACTCAGACATCCATATAACCAAATTCTAACCTATTACTCTTTTGTACACTTGTTGTACTCTTGGCAGTCAGGTTGCATTTTCCGATCTGAGCATATTACTAATGCTAAATACCCCCCCATGCGCACTTATTTTTAAAGAGTTCTAACAGAAAGCCTCTTCTTTTATGTATTTATAAATACATGTTCCCATAAATATGTATGACTATGCTCACATATCTATAATGTTTGTAAGTATACATATGTGTTTATTTAGATAATCTTGCCAAAGGATTATAGGAAGAAAATTGGTCCAAGGATAAAAAGATATGGATCTTTGGCTCTAGTTCTGCCACCATCCTCAAACACCCTTTCATTAGATAATCTGCTTGTCTATAAAATGAAATCTTTAAAGGATGTGATTCTTTTGATACTTTACTAGTCTAAAATGTTAAATAGCTACCTGGGATAAATGGGTCAGGTACATCTCCCCTCCTACCAGAACTCCACTTTGCTCTACTTAAGAGAAATTACCTTAATGTTTTAAATGAATCACTGAAAACTGTAGCGTTTCACAAGCTATTCTCTCATGTATGTATGTGCCTGTCTTTCTAGATTTTAATTCTGGGAACAATTTATCTTCAATTTCTCATTTTTTTCTACCATTGTAATACAGAATAAATGGAGATATCAAAAATAACTTATTTGTAGGTCTGTTTTGCCAAACACACCCAGACTGATTTCTGTGCTATTTTATATTGATGAGTTATATATTTATTTGTCACACAAATAAATATTTGTAGTACACTGGGACACATGGATGCTATGACAATGGGGACAGGCATTGACTCTAGGTCTGGCTTCACTTTTCTCATTCAATAAACACAATCTGGCACCTCTTCAATGATAAATATGGGAGGTGACAGAATCAACCAACCTCTGCATGTCTCATGGAGAATAGACTCTTCTCCATGAGTGGGGTGGAGAAGGCAGATTGTGAATACATTATGTTGCAAAACAGTTATTTGAAGATATAGTTGGAGGCATTATGTGGAGTGTTGAGGAAAGGCTTCCTTCATACAAACTAGAATCATGGCCTCATGCAGATTTTACCTCTTGCTCCTAAATTGTCTCATCTCACCAAGACTTGTTCATTCTATCATATAATAGAAATGTTGAAACAGAATTTGCCGCATGTTCTGTTCTGTTGTGACTGTTAATGACTTCATATTTGCTCAGATCCCTTATGAGTTTGTAAGTTCTTCTAATCACTCTATCTTTTCCTTTTTTGTCAATGAATGTTTATTAAGCCAAGAATTATATCACTGAGATTCAGAGATAAAATCAACTCTGTTCTCAAGCAGCTAAGGTCATGTTGGGGAGACAAGGAACAATTTCAGATAACGTTGTTAAGTAATGGTTAGTATGAGAAGGGCAATATCCATAGAGCTGGAGCTGCTGAGATGCTTGGAGCTAGTTTCCTTTGTATGTCTTAAAAGATGACTACTTAAACAATAAGGAAGAGAGCAAGTGAAGGAGAGGCTGGTTGTGCGTGTTCTTCACATCTATGCATACCTGGGCAGATGGTTCTATAAATGTAGGAGATGGTCCTATGCAATGTGCTAGACTGAATGACTAAGAATTGGAACTGCAGATTATAGGGAGTTATGGTAAAGAATATTTTAAAGAGGGAGTAGACCTCATTACACCACTAGACTTGCAGTGGTTGGAGCAGTAAAAATAGGATTGTAGGGTGCGTGATTGTGACTCACACCTATTATCCTAGCTACTCAGGAGAGTGAGATCTAAGGATATCTATTTGAAATTAGTATGACCACAATCATTTGTGAGACTCTTAACTCCAATTAATCAGCACAAATGTAGAAGTGGAAGTGTGACCCAAGTGGTAGAGCACCAATCTTGAGTGGAGAAAAAGAAACAACAAGCAAACAAATAAAAGAATGAGGCCTAGGTTCAACACACACACAAACCCCAATAGGATTGTAAATTGTGAAGAATGGCTTAGAATGTGTTTGAATTTGAGATCTGAGAATCAGCAAGGATCTTCTTCAGGAGTCTAAGTGAGACATATTGAAAGGATTAAGACTAGAGCAAAAATTTAAGGTGATGGGGGAAGAACAGCAGTAGAAATGTGAAATTTTAGATCTACTGGATGCCATAACCAGATGTGAGGACTGTGAGGAGAAGGAGCATCAGAAGATTTTCACATTGTGTATAACTAGAACAACTGGTAGCTGGAGATTTTGCTATCTGGGATGGACATTTGATGAGATGGACCAGACTGGGGATATGAGGAGATTGCCAATACTGGTAGTGGTTCTTGTGGAACATCTCTATGGAACTCTGTAGAAAGAAGTGGAATACATGGGGCTGAAGCACAAAAAGGGGTGTGACCTAGGGGTAAGCATTTAATAAACAACATTCAATATTCAATGGGAGCAACAAGTGAATGAATAAAAGCTACTATGGAGTAGCAAAAGGTCCCCAGAAAATCTATTGCAGTTATATTTATAGAGTGTGCTGGAGTATCTTGTGTGTGTTAAGGCATACATCGGTATGTGTTTGCAAAATATCACTGATAAGGTGGCTGAAAAAATCAAAAACTTATTTTTCAGTTCTGGAAGGTGGAAATCCAATCCAGAATCTATATGAAGTCAGTATTGGTTTTTAGTGAGCCCTTGTTTTCCTGGCTTGTAAATAAGAACTTCACAGGAACTTTTCTTTCTTCTGTGCTAGGCCAGAAAACAGAGGGAGAGGGAAATAGAGAGGGAGAGAGAATGAGGGAGAAAGATGGAGATTGTCTTATAAGGACGTCAATCCTATCTGAGTAGACTCTACCTCATGTCCTCATTGAGCCTATATGACCGCTTTAAAGGTCTGTCTTTAGACACAGTCACATGGGTAGGGAGAGCTTAAGGCTTCAAGGCATAAACTCTAGGGGAACAAAATTCACTGTAACATCAGTGCATTTGTTTTCAAACCGACTTTTCTTGGGGCGGGGAGAGTAGACTTTTCTGTCTATCACACACTTTGCTGTTCTTCTAAAAGATCAGAGAGCTAGAGTTTGTTCACTGGTAAAATAAATCATATTATTTTTCTTTCTTTCTTTTTTCTTTTTTGGTCGGTGATGGGGCTTGCACTCTGGGCTTGTGCACTGTCCCTTTGCTCTTCAGCTCAAGACGGAGCACTCTACCGCTTGAGCCACAGCACCACTTCAGGTTTTCTAGTGGCTCATTGGAGATAAGAGTCTCATGGACTTTGCTTCCCGGGCTGGCTTTGAACCTTGATCCTCAGATCTCAGCCTCCTGAGTAGCTAGGATTTCAGGCCTGAGCCACCAGCGCCCGGCTAAGTCATCTTTTTCTACAATTGTATCAATGAATATTTATGTGTGTACAGATTTTCTTCCTCCTTTTGGACAGGGTTAAAAGCTACTTGCAAATAAATAGGACTTCTATTGACTTCTACTGCTGTATGGAACACAGCGGAAGAAAAAGCCAGAAAGGTACACAACTCACAAAAATGCATGCCATGAAGTTATAAATTCAAAGCGGAGGTTTGCTTGTGTGTGTGTGTGTGTTGGGGGGGGGGGATACGGTGCATTCTTTGGCATGTACACACTTGCAATCACGTTCACTTTCACCTATGGCTATTTTGGAATGTAGGAACTGATCCTTTATTTTCCGCCTGCTCTGTTTTCCCTCTTGGTACACGTGGCCTTCTTTAGATAGGATTGTAGGGTCTGGGTTGATGCTCTTGAAGGAAAAAAAAAAAAGTTGCTGGGAATTGAGAAACCCTAGCCCTGGAGGAGGCCAGGTGATGGGTGTCAGCAGCAGGGTGGGGACCCGCGGACTCCGAGGGCGCGGAATCGTTGACATACCATTCCCCTCCCACCCGCCTCGCACCCGGGCGGAGGGAGGCGGAGAGGTCTGCAAACTTCGCTCCAATCCGCAACCAGCCCTCCCCAGGGTCCCCCTGCCGGGCGACCCGCCCACCGGCTCTCGGAGTTGGGTGAGGGGGAACTTTGCAAAGCAACTCCTCTGAGCCTGGGAAGGCAAAGTGCTTCCCCCCCCACCCCCCAGCATTCAACCCCCTCTCAAGCATCCCCCCCCCCCAATCTCTTGCTCCCGCCTCTGGGTCCTGGCCCAGCCGCGATCGCCGGTGATAGGACGAGCCCGGGGCGTGCAGGGTGTAGACGCAAACCAGTGTCCCGGCTCCCCAGGGCTGCCTCACCCCGGGGCCCGGGCAGCGGTGGTGGTTGGCGCTGCCGTGGGTCTCGAGAGCGCGGCCATGCTCCCGCCGTGGCGCGGGCGGCGGCGTCCCGGAGCGGCTGTCTCGTAAAGCACGAAGGCGGAGAGCAGGGAGGGGGAGGTGGCACCCGGAGGGGCTGAAGATGAAGGTGCCCGCGCATGGGCCGCCGCTGATTGCCCACCCCTCCCCAGCTCGCGCCCGGCGCGGAGCCCCAGGCCGCGGAGGACCCGCCTCCGCCGCAGTAGCAGCCGGAGCCGCGACGCGGGCGGCGGCGCAGGCGGCGGCGCCCCTCGCGCCCGCGCGCACGGCCGCCACCCGGGGGTCGCCGCTGCCCCAGCTGCCATGAGTTGTGCGGAGGTGATGTATCACCCCCAGCCGCATGGAGCGCCCCAGTATCTGCCCAACCCCGTGGCAGCTGCAACCTGCCCCACAGCCTGCTATCATCCGGCTCCCCAACCTGGCCAGCAGGTGAGTCACCGACCGGGCAGCCGGCCGGGGGCGGGGGCCGAGGGCACCGGGAGTATCGGTCTGGGGCTCCGGCGGTGGCGACGGCCGTCCCCGCCGGGATGGGTGGCGCAGACCATGCCCCGGGACCTGCGGGAGCGCCCGTGAGCGCGGACCGCCCGCGGAGGAGAGGCGCGGGGGCTGCGGGCAGCGCGGGGCGGGTGGGGAGTCTTGGAGAGACCGTACCTGCCGGAGGGAGGGGGCCGCGGCGGAGCTGCGCGCACCCCAGCTCCCGGGCGGCTGGCCTTTAGTCACCCCGGCTGTCAGGACTCGGTCTCTGAAGCTCACCCAGGGGCATCTGGTTTAGGACCATGTGAGTAAACTTCCTTTCCAAGCAAATGTTTTCTTTCTTTGGAATGCTGAGAGAGTTCCAGGGCTTTCTGGATTGAAGAGGAGGAAGTGTGTGCGGCCGAGGTGGCCCAGGCTACCTGACCAGTGAGCTCACAGGGTTGACCTTTCCGAGACTTGTAGGGTGGGACAGCGCGTCTGATGTAATCTATAGCAGCAGAAGGTTTCTAGAACTTCTTTTATGGCTGTGGTTTAGAGGCACGGGGGATGCCCGGGCTCTTCATTCATTTCCTCACCCCACCAAAAGACAGTTGGTTATAGGAGGTGTTCAGGCTGTGGATCCCATTCGAGAGGTAACCTTGAATCTCTGAATTGTGGGGGCGCCGCCATGCCAGGGGACTGAAAATGTTGTCCGTAAAAACGGATCTGGGGCTAGGTAGGAGATGATGGAGTTACTTTGGATAAGGGAGAGTAAGACTCCAGAAAACTGAAAAACAAGTGCCCTGGGATATTAAGGTGGACACAAGAGCAAGTGCACCAAAGTTTAGTTAGCCCTGTAATATATATATATATATATATATATATGCATATACATATATATATATTGAAGTATGTTTGTGGCAAGGGGCTGTATGTACCAAATAGTCTTCCTCAGACTGTGGTGATTAGTGGGTGTTGATTTCATGAAACAACAATAAAAGTAATAATACAACTAGACACACTGAGAAAATTATAATGCGCAGAATTGATTGGTTATTCATTTCTTCAGAACTATGTTTTATTCAAACCCTAAGGGTTTTTGGCCTTGGCATTAACTAGATCTTTGAATCTGGACATTTTCTCAGTCTCTTTCTCTGTGCTTACACGTGTGGTGTTACTTTTTGGAAATAACAACCAAAAAAAACAGGTTTGTTTAAAATGTAGTTGGTTGTAAAATTCAGCTGATTCTGAAAGGGTACAGCTAACTTAACTGAGGACCACTGAGAGCACGTAGAGGAAGGAATCCTACTTTCTTGTGATGATTTATTCATTGATTGTAGTATCTAGCAGTTTTATTATTTCAAAGCAAAGTGACTTCTGAGGAGAAGGATAGAAAAGTATTTTGTGATTATGGTCAGGGGAAACAGATAAAAACATTTTGTATAGTCGTTTGCTTTTCTTTGGCATATACCAAATATAAGTAATGAAGAAAGCCACATCAGTTTAATTCAGGCAAGTAAGGCAAAGAAACTGCAGGTATGAGTAGTTCTCAGGACTGGATAAAGTATTCTTTCCTTCCTCTCTGATACCTTAGGAGCCTTCAAAATTACCAGTTGGAATGTGGATGAGAATAGGCTCTAAATGTTAAGAAGGATACTTTCCTGTCTTTAAAACAAACAAAAACTAGTAGGAATAAGGGAATAAGGTGGCTTATTTGAAAATCTGTGAAATGAGGTTCATAAAAATATGCATCTATTATTTACATTAGTATTGTAATTTTAGCTGAAATTATAATTTCATATAAAAATTATGAATGTCCCATCATAACTTCATTTTCAGTAAGAAATGACTGCATATACTTAATCTTAGTTTTGCAATAGTACTGAGTCTCAGCCCCCAAATTCCATTCTTTTGCTAAATCCATCAACAAGCTGCAGAATGAACTACAAAAAAGAAAAAAGAAAAAAAAGAAAAAAAAAAAGCCTGAATTGTCTCCATGGCTCTGTTGCCTAGTGGTCAACTTCTGCTATATTTGCGCTTCTGTAAACAGCACTTAAGGAGATGTTTGGCTGAATACAAGGGTAGAGTTGAGAGATGTGTTTGGAAATTTTCATGTTACTTTAACTAAATTGACTTATTCAAGATTTCTTTCTGCTTTTTCCTTGTGAGGAAACTGTTTGACTACTAGTGGTCAGTAAAATGAACAGAGACTTGACAGTAACTACTGTTCTTTTTACTGTTAGGAGTTTATTTTGATGACCTATATTTTCTCTTTGGAGAAAACAGTAAATCAGGAATTCTTATCAGGCTGACAACATTTTTAGACTATGCAGTGCGTGGGTGAAGTGGGACTAATATTGACTTGGCCCTAATGTAGTCATCTGAGAATACATATTTTGGTTGTTTTTGCATTCCATAAGGTTTTATCATTATTATCCATGAAGATTGTTTTCTCCGTACATGGGAAGTGACCCCTAATAGCATCTTGCCTGGGAGACAAAAATAAGGGATGTTATTCCTACTGCATTTGAAAAACTGAGTTGTTAAGGAGAGAGAAATGAAAAAACAACAGAAATAGTGGGAGAATAGTCAACCAAATTTAAAGTTTATTTATAAAATAAATGCAAGAAAAGAGAGTACTATAGTTTTGTACAACTTTTACATTTATTTGTAGTAATATGTCCTTCCTTTGATTTTTTTTTCCCCATCTATAGCTCTGAAGTCTTTTGTATGCTTTCTTTTGTGTTTTACAGTGCAGAGGATCAAACTCAGGGTCCCACACATGCCAGGCAGACATTCACCACTGGGCTCCATCCCCAGCCCTCTATTCCTTATAAGTCAGTGTGTCAAAATTGGTTCATGATGGAATTTAACCATAGGCCTATTTCTCTCTCAATACATGATCATACATGAAATTCTCCTTTGAAATGACATAATCTCATTTTCTACAAAGTTGAAAAGTGAAACTTTTCAAGTCAGGTTTTTAATTAAAAATATTATGTGTTGTTATAAGTGAGTTGTACGCAAATATTTACAAACATAATAACCTCAGCTATATAAGCTCTAGTGTGTTAGTTAGGCATAGAGTTGGTTAAATGAATAAAAGCAATCTGTAAATACCTGAGGAGCAAATTTTGTAGTCCCTGATAATTAACTCCAAGAAATTGTGTGGCCGTGCACAACATAACTGCGTGTTTTATAGAGCCAGGGATTTGTGAGGGATAGTGAGTAACCTAGGATCGCTTGCATCCACCAGTCCACTTGGGACTGAGCATCTCAGCACATACTCTGAAGGCTAATGCCACTGCTGAATATGTACAGAAAAGTGTTCATATCATGCACTGGTGGCTCATGCCTGAAGTCTTAATTACTCTGGAGGCTGAGATATGAGGAACACAGTTCAAAGCCAGACCAGGCAGGAAAGACCATGAAACTTATCTCATGAATCACTGAAAAACCAGAAGTGGAGCTGTGGCTCAATTGGTAGTACAGTAGCCTTGAGCAAAAATACTTAAGGACAGTGTAGTGCCCAGGCCCTGAGTTCAAACTCCAGAACTGGCACACACACACACACACACACACACACACATGCGTGCACATGCACACACATACTTACACACGCACAAATAGAGTTCATTTTCATGTGTACCACTGATGGTAAGAACCAGGAGAAAGTATTGAAATATGTGTCAGGAAAAATTGAGGGCCCTAATGTGACATCAAAGATGCCTTTCGTACCCAGTGAATGTCTCCTCTTACTCTGCTGTCAAAATAGTTCCTCATATCCATACTTTTAAAATCAGGAAGATATGTAAAGTCTCCTGAATGCTATAGTTTATATGTAAGATGACATGAGCAGAGAACAATTCCTAAATTCTATCTATAGAAGTTATATATAATAAAGTTTTCTTTACTTTTATTTTTAATAATCACACTTCAACCTTGATGTAAGTTAGCACACATTTATGCTGTCCTATTTGAGAGTAACAGCTGGCTCAATGCACATGCATGCTTTTACTTAAACAATTGGATTTCCCTGGGATGCAACACTGCAGTTATAAAGTTTGGAAAATTTTCAAACTCTCTGTACTCTGCCACCTTGGTTAAATCATGAAACTTCTCTGAGTATTTGTATGTCATGGGAAAATTCTGGAAAAATTATACTTCAGTCTTTCCATTTACATCTGGCAAAATGCGTTTTCTTAGGGTCGACATAATGAAGATTTCAAAACTGATTGATGGCAAAATTAGGACCTCCAGGTCCCCAACTTCCCAGTGAACCAGGTGCAGAATCTTTCTACCATGCCAGGCAATCTCGCCGAAGGAATTTTTCTTTTTGGCTATTGCAAAATGGACTTATTTTTGTCTTTAGTGCCCCCAATCAACGTTTTTTTGATAAAGAAGATTAATATGAAGTAGATTCTTTGGCCTTGGAGTTTGAGATTCTTTCCAAGTCCTTGGTAGTGTACTTTTTTTTTTAATTGAGGCATTCCAAAGGCCTTTTGCAAGCATTTATATTATGCTAATGACTTTTGCTATCAATGTTGCATCTTTTGTTGATGAAGCAGAATATCCACTTAGTAAATGAACATTTATTTATAAGAAAATACCAGAAGTGATATTGACACTCCCTTTTAAGTGCCACATATTTTACTGTCTTTCTAACGTAAAATTTAATTTCATTAAAGAAGTAAGAATACAAGTATAACACAAATTATTTTAGCACACACACTACTTAAGCAAAGGATTTAATTCTTCTTTCAACCATAAAGGAGAACTTGTGTATTTCTAAGGATTGATACAGGACTTGTTTGACAAAGTGCAGTCCCTATAATTCCACAATACACAAATTAACTTGACTGCCAAGTCTTAAAAGCTTACACTCCTCCATAGTTGCAGGTCCCCAGTAACTTCCCAACCGAAAGATTTCAAAACTACAGGAAGTTAAACTTTAAAGTAACTGAACCTTGGCTCTC